TGCCACAATCCCTTATCCATTCTCCTCTTGGGATCTTGGGCATGCACGCACACACGCCCGGCGTGAGTTTTAAGCCACCGGGTCCAGGACTTGAACCACAGTCGACTACGTGGGAGTCCAGTGACATAGCCATTAGGCTAACTGCTGGTCCCTACACTGGTATTTTTGAAGCAATGATGCCACATTTGGAAAAAGCAACAAGGAAAGAAAATTTGGGCCAGATGGGGCAGCCATAAATGTGGCTCTCTGGGAGGCAGACACACATGGAAGCCCCAGGGTCATGTCCAGACCCCTCCCTGAGCTCACCTAGTCTGTAACGCCATGATCACCGGCTAGTTGGAACTGAGTGGATCCGGGGGTCAAGACCCTGTTGGGATGTTCTCTCTCTCTCTCCCCCTTCACACACACACACACACACACACATACACACACACACACACACACGCATCACTCATGGAAGAAATAACCTTTTTAAAAATTAAAAAAGTTTTTCCAGGTGTTAACAAATCAGAAGAGAGAAAAGAAAGAAAAAAAGATAAGAATGTGCTTAATTGTCTCCCTGTAATAAACCCCTAATCAATCTTCTTAAAATTGCCCACGTAGGCCCACATGTAGCTCACCTGTGGCTGAGGTGGAATGCCTGTCCCTGCATCCATGGGGAATATGTCACCATTTGATTTTGCTCTTCAATTCACAGAGTTAAGATGGAGATCCTAGTGATGCCCCCTGTGATGTCTACCTGGATGCCCATAGAGGAGGGTTCGTTCCTTAGCTCTCCCGATCCCAGGAACTCAGCACTGACGTGAAAGTAGTGCCGTGGGGGACTGGCAGAGAGTCAACCGCCGCCTCTCCTTGTGCTGAATACTGCCTGTGCCTTTGTTTTCCACGGTGATGGTGCTGAAGGATCAAAAGTGACAGGAAACATCTCGGCAGAGCCTTCCAGAGTTGCAGCTGCCAGAGTTTGACGTTCCCGCCGATGACAGACATAATCTAAAGATAAATTGAGTTGTTCTAACCCCGTCTCCTGATCTCTGACAGGTTCCACCTCGCGTAGGCCTCGGGGATGAAGGTTGCTGGCGTCTTGACCCTGCTTGGGTTCCTGGTCACAGCCACGGAGTCCAAAGTCTACACTCGTTGTAAACTGGCAAAAATATTTTCGAGAGCTGGCCTGGACAATTACGGAGGCTTTAGCCTTGGAAACTGTGAGATTTCTTCCTTCCCATTCTCTGTCTATCCTTGGCCTCTTCCCTGCGATGCCGAGGGTCCATCCATACTCCCTTCTGCTGTTTCCAGTCTCTCTGTGCTTGGCCCTGCCAGGGATGGCTGCTAGGTATCCACACATCCTCCTCATTGCTGCTTGCTGGACTTCCTCCCCTTTGTTCCCTGCCCCTTCTGTCCTCATTCCTGGAATCCTGATTTATGACACCAATGGGGAATTTGGGGGGAATGCCACTCCGGTTGGCATTGTTAGGGAAGTACCTGACTTTCAGCCTGGGCTAGGCTGGGCCACTAACTGGGCATTGCAGGTCTGGGTGTGCTAAGTCTGCTTCACCAGTGGCCCATGGGGTCTCCACCTGCTCCATCCTGCTTCATGGCTTGTTGGAAGGAGGTGATTAGGTGACACGAATATGAGAACTTGCCCCTAAGAACGGGTTTAGGAAAACAATGCATTTCTTTCACTGGCCTTTCTGGCCCTCCCCTCTAGGGATCTGCATGGCATACTACGAGAGCCACTACAACACCACGGCTCAGACAATCCTGGAGGACGGGAGCGTCGACTATGGCATATTTCAGATAAACAGTTTCACGTGGTGCAGACATGCGAAGCTGCAGGAGAAGAACCACTGTCATGTGGCCTGCTCAGGTATGGTTTTGATTTTCCCAAACTGTCATTCCCGGGGACACAGGCAAGAAAGCTAATACTGGGATGTCCCCCCATTTTCTACACTACCTAAGATTTGGTGTTTGGATTTACGAGGAGATCTGTCCCAGGGCAAAATACTATTGAACAGTTCCCCAAGATGATTCTTAGGAACTGGCCAAGGATGGATACAGTCCCTTGAGGCTACATTTTAATAAGCCATTCATGGAAATGGAAGAATGGTCTATGGCATTACTACCCTTTCATATATGGAAACATTTGATATCTTTGGTAAAAAAAATTTGTTCACCAGATAAGTAATTCCATAAGTACTTCCCTCCAAGAAAACAGCCTGTGCATGTTTGTGTGGAATGAGACAAAGGAATACGTTTAACATTTATCAAACAACAGAGAGTAAGCTAGAATTCACTTCCAAGTTTCCTGTTCAGTCATTCAAGAGATACATATATGCACAGCTTTGAGGATAACAAAATGTGAGGGGACTTCGAAAAGTTTGTGGGAAATGGGGTTAAAGTATCAGTTTATTTTGGTACAAAACGTTTTTAATCCATGCATAATTTTTTCATAATATGCCTTTTCCATGAATTTTTCTAAGACCTCCATGCTCCAGTACAGACGTGAATTTTACAGAGCAGATGAGGGAAGAAAATATGTGTGCATGTGAAGTTAAATGTATGACTGTGAGCCGGTGTGGGTTGAGTGTTATGGCCTTGGAGGAAAGTCATATTAAGAAATCATGGAAAGTTCTGGAAGCATAGAACTTTAGTGGACTTTAGACTAAGAAGAGAGGCATGTTTTGGGTATTCAGAGATGGAGAAGGGGAAACAGAGTTGGAAAGGTTACTGATTACTATCTTTTTGGATAGTAATGGGGAAAGCCACGCTAAAGAGCTCATGCTGATTTCTGACTGCAATAGGAAACCAGTAGAGGTCAATTAAACATTGTTTTGGAAAGATTAATTTGCAAGCAGGATGGGGAATAGATGAAAGAAGAGTGGCACGTAAGTGCCACACCACTGCAATGATTGAGGTAAGAGATAAAAAGATTGGAATGACGGTGCTATGGTTGGCCATGGAGAAGAGAAGATGAATGCAAGAATACAGAGGACAGTGCTCTATAAATGGTGGTCTTGCTTGCTCTCTAGAATGTAAGCCTCACAATGGTGGAGAGTTTTGCCTGTTTTGTTCACTAATATATCCTCAATGCCTAGAATAATGCCTGGCCATTGTAGGGGCTCAATAAATATGTATTAAATAAATTAATGGAGAGAATGAGGAACAAGGATGAAATCCAGGAGTCATAAAGTGTCCTAGGGCAAATTCTTTGGGAGACAAGAAAGAAAAAACTATGTTTTAATCTCTTTTTGCCACATACAAGACAACCTGTATGTATTTGTATGTATGAATGATTGAATACTGTTCATTTAGCAAATTGTGCATAACTTTACATTAATATAAATGATCACTACCCCCTGAGAATGGTGAGCTCTGTAGCAAAAACTAAACAAATGACATTTCCAGAAGCAAAGGTCATGGCATTCCAATCTGGAAGGCATACCACATGGCTAGTGTGATGGACTAACTAAAGCACAGCCTCGAGAGACTTTAAACACCCAGAGAAACAGAATATACACTACAGGCTTCCAAAGAGGGAAAACAGAAACAACTACAACAAACTATTTCATGCTTTTGAAGATTAAGCATCAGAGTGACATTGGACTTCTTTAAAAAAACACTGAAATCTAGGAGGAAATGGAACAAAATGTTCAAAATTCTGAGGAAAAACTATTTTCAACCCAAAGTTCTGTGTCAGTCAAATCATCAGCACATTTTGAGCATATAATTAAGATGTTTTTAAACAAACAAATTGGTAGAAATAATACCTCCTATGTCATAGAGAATCCCAGTTGGAAAACAGCAAATTCAAACTGGGTAATTTGAGAATGTTAAGGAAAGGATATGTTCAAGGGTGTGATGAATTTGTAGGAAAACTACAGGAATAATGACATGAGAGATGGGACTAGGAAGCCATTATCATCCCCTGGCCCAAAGGGGATGAAAAGAGCTATGACCACCACCTAAATACAAAGGGTCGGTATGGAGAGGGCTGCCTTGTAGGAGTTGTAACCTTCCAGGGACAAAGTTTGTGTTGAGTGACTTGACTAGAAGAAAAGCCTGAGGAATATATATTTCAACCACAGTGACCTCCCTCCCTTCCCTGCTGTTTCTCACTCTTATTTAAAGCCTGCCGGAATCTGGAGGACAAGGGAGTCCCTTGGTGCCTTCTCGGTGGAACAGCCTCCTAGTGTACAGAGCTTACTGAAGGATAGAGAGTGGGCAATGAAAAGATACCTAGCACAACTCCCATGCATCCTTAACTATTGGAGAGGGCCATCTGGTGGCATGGTGGTTAAGGTGGCTGGATCCCACATGGCTGACTACACAGTTCAAGTCCTGCACACTGCTGCCTGAAAAACACACTGGGCAAACATGCATGTGTGTCCCAAATCCCCACAGGAGAATGGATAAGAGAATGCACAAGTCCACCCCTCCTGGGGGTGATTTCTCACGCTCCACACCTCCTGCCCCCTCCCCCCTCCCCCATCTCTCTTTGGTAAGTCCATGTGTCCTATAACAAGATTTAAAGCAAACAAACAAAAAACGCCCCACAACTATTGGAAAAGGTATTCCACTAAAAGGATAAAGTAAATCAAGAACAAAGATGAAGGGATTGCCCAACATGATTATGAGGGGTGATCCCCGGACAACATTGATTTCTAATTACATCCCACTGTGGTCAGAGAATGTAGTCAACAGGTTTTCAAGTCTTTAAAATGTTTTGAGCTTTGTTTTTAAGCACAGACTATGTCTCTATGGTGAACCTGTTTTTGAAAAACAAACATGTATTCTATAGTTGTTGGGTGAATGTTGTATAAATAACTATTCCATCCGTAATGTTTTCCTTACTTGTTCTGTTAAACAGTGAGAAATACATATCGAAATTTGGAAGTATGATTATCGCTTTGTCTTTTTCTCCTTCTGGTCTTGTCAGCTTTTGAAGCTCTCTTATAAGGCACATTCTTTTTGAGGATTGTTCTGTCCTCTTGACAAGTTGATGCTTTTATTATTAGAGTCAACATTTCCCTTAAATATGGTACTGCTTTTTTTTCTAATCCAGAAACCGACTTTGTCTAATAGCAATATAGCTATTCTGGCTTTCCTTTAGGATATATTTGCATAGCATATTTCTTTCTATATTTCTACTTTTGATCCATATTTTATGTTTATATTTAAAGTAAATTTCTTACAGATGGCATATAGTTGCATGCTATTCTTCTATAGTGATTAGGTCATATATCATGAAATGATTTCTTAAAAGCCCAGATAGTAAATTTTGTAGGCTTTGGATGCTGTGTCATTTTTTTTTTTAGAGGTTTTTGCTATAGGGCGCTTGCGCTCACCAGAGAGACAGAGAGACAGAAAGCGAGAAATCATCCCCCAGGGTGGATGGCCACACCACAATCCTTTCTCCTCCATTCTCCTCTCGGGATCTTGGGCACGCATGCACACGCACCTGGCATGAGTTTAAGCCACCGGGTCCAGGACTCAAACTGTGGTCGACTACATAGGAGTTCAGCGACATAGCCATTATGCTAACTGCTGGTCCCAGTGCCATGTCATTTTTGTTGCAACTATGCACCATGACACAGTACAAAAGCAGCCATAAAAGACTTATACATGCTGGGACCAGCAGATGGCATAATGGCTATGTCACTGGACTCCCATGTAGTCTATCGTGATTCGAGTCCTAGACCTGGCGACTTAAACTCACACCGGGCACGTGTGTGTGCATGCCCAAGATCCCAAGAAGAGAATGGAGGAGAAGGGATTATGGTGTGGCCATCCCCCCTGGGGGTTGATTTCTTGCTTTCTGTCTCTCTGTCTTCCAAGTGCACGTGCCCTATAGCAAAAACCTCTTAAAAAAAAGACATAAATGCAGAGGCCTGATTGTATTCCAATAAGCCTTTATTTACAAAAACAAGATGGTCTGTGGGCCATAGGTTGCTGAACTTTGATTAGACCATTTATATTTAATGTGATTGTTAATATTCATAGATTTGTTGTGTTGTGTTGTGTTTTTCACAGAAGAGTGAAAGAGACAGGGAGAGAAGAAAGCACCGTTAGTCATGCATGGTCATATTACAATCCCTTTTCCTTTGTTTCTCCATCACTTTGAGATGTTAGGCATGCACATGCATGTACTCTGCTTTTTACAAGCCACTGGGCCAGAATTTGAACCATGTAGTCAGCCATGTAGGATTCAGCTCCCTTAACCATTAGACCATGTGTCCAGTGTGTTTTACAAGGTACTGGAGCTGGAACTCAATCCATGTTGTTGACCATGTAGGATCTGGCTTGCTTAACCATGAAGTCATGGAGCCAGCCCTATTTTTGTTTTATATGATGATCTTTTAGATAACCTTTAAAGTTTATTATTTATTCCTTCAGTGAGAGAGAGAGGCATTCCCTGCCTTGGGTCTTCACACTGAGAACTACCTCTAGACTCAGCCAGGCTCGACCATGGCCACAGATACGCCCAGCATGTATAGAGAGGCCTTGGGAGATGATCATGGGACCTTACCATGTGGGTCTAGGTGCATTATTACTAGGCCTTCATCTGGTCTTTAGATTATGGTTTTGTTTTAATGAGAAAAAGGTTTTCTTATATTTATCACATAGTTAACCATTTCTAACACTCATTCCTTTGGTGAACTCGTTTAGGCAGACAGTTAGGTGATACCATTTTCTCTCAGTCTAAAGACTCTTTAATTTCTTTTTTGAGGGGTAAACATTCCCTAGCTTGTTTGCCTGAAAATGCCTTTATATTATTTCATTGTTTTTTTTTGGAGAGATTTTCACTGTAGGGCGCGTGTGCTCGCCAGACAGACAGAGAGAGACATAGAGACAGAAAGCGAGAAACCA